AAACTAATATTATAAAATGTGTTGCTAACGTTTTTGCCCTTCATTTGTTATTATTATTGTTATTAATTTAACAAGTATTCAGACTGATCTTTACTTTTATAAACGGGAAAAGTCCTTCAATTTCCATTACGATTTTTGCGCATGGAAGTGGCTACTTATCTTATAATTATTATTTTTTCTACTTGTATAGGCATAAATTTATTTATAAAAAGATACAATAATGAAATTGATTTTAATCTCTAGATAAAAGAGGGCGTGATAAAACAACCCCCCCCCCTTTCGATGATTCTTTCAACTTCAAACAACTACGTAAAAAACAAAACAAAAAATAACTTCACATACGACATAGAATATAACAAGAATAGAAATTAGACATAATGGAAATGGTAGAATGTATCTTAATAGGAAAGATATCTGATAGATAGACCTAAGTAACAGTGGGGATATACCAATTATCAGACTTAACTTTTATTTGCAAGCCTCACATATTAGTCCCTAGTAGTTCTGCGCTTAGTCTGCAGGTTTACGACTCTAAATACTGGATTTCGATATCCGTGGTGAGCATAGAACAGATAGCCCATTGTGCAGATTTGTACTTAACAACCAAACCAATCTAATATATTAATTGATACGGAACTTAAAAGTTAAGAACAGTTGTGGGTAATAAAGCCCACACGTTCCACATTTAAAACCATATCGTTCACCATCTACAGTTCAATGTGAAAAGATATGTACTTGTAATAAGTTAGGAATTCAACTCAATAAAAGAGGTTTAATAAAAACAACAGGTCATTTATCTCCTTCAGTTTGTACTGGAGCTTCATAGTGCCATATATTTGCATGAACGGCATAATGAAACCTCACGATGAGTACGTTAATATAGTATACGAACTAGATGTACTTCTGCAGGGGTCCCCGAAAGTGTTCTGTTTAAAAGTAATAAATATTTTTATTTCTTGCTTTAGAAGTTAATATGTCATGCTGTGTTGTAGCCTTCAAAATGCATAATTCTTCTCGTGATTCATGGCATGCGCACATTTTACTGACATCACGACAGTAAAAATTGCAACGTTAAGCGTCCCTTATGTGACGTCATTTTAGTGTCTACTGACTGACTAACAGACAACACACTACTGTAAAGTGGTACGAGTGGTTAAAGCAGGTGACTCCTCTAGGTGGCCTTCGACCCCTTTTCGAGGAAATTAAGGTTAAAACAAAATCAGTTTTTATGAATTTATCCTCTTACTTACAATAATCTGACAGGTTTTCAACTTCAAACAACAGTTTGTTGGTTTGTTTGTTATGGATTTCGCGCAAAGCTACACGAGGGCTATCTGCGCTATCCGTCCCTAATTTAGCAGTGTAAGACTAGAGGGAAGGCAGCTAGTCATCACTACTCCCACCGCCAACTCTTGAGCTACTCTTTTAACAACGAATAGTGGGATTGATCATCACATTATAACGCCCCCACGGCTGAAAGGGCGAGCATGTTTGGTGGGACGGGGATTCGAACCCGTGACCCACAGATTGCGAGCCGAGTGCCCTAACCACCTGGCCATGCCGGGCCTTCGAAGAACAGAACAATAAGTTAATAACCATAGAACTATTAGAAAATACATCGCATCAATAATTATAAAGTCCATCGAAGCAAAGCTTCAATTATTAACAAACGTGGTTGTGACTGGATTTGTTTGGACACGCTAAAGAAATATGTATGTTTGTTTTATTACTCTTGATAAAGGTTAATAACCGAAACGATTAACATTAAATAAAACATTCGTATATATATTTATTTAAATCTTTGATTAATTAAAACTACAGTCCATTTAGTATATATAAATAAGTAAGTAACCTTCAACTCAACAGAAACATAATTGCGCAACTACACAAAAATCCATCATCCCTCAGAAATCCAATGACCCTTTAGTTCAAAAGGAGCCAATCAGTAATTTAATAATTAAACAGTGAAAAAAAAGGTGCAACGAAAAATATCAGATCTCTTTCAAACCAAAAGAAGTAAAACAGAAATTTCTTCGTTATTCATTCAAGTCGTTTCCTACTTTATTAGCTTGGTTGTTTGTTTATTGAGTTTTGTATAAAGTTACTCGAGGGCTATCTGCGCTAGCCATCCGTATTTTAGAAGTGACTACTAATCAACACCACCCACCGCCAACAACTGGGCTACTCTTTTATCTACGAAAAGTGGGATTCACAGTCACATTATATCGCCCCCACAGCTGAAAAGGCATGTTCGGTGCCGGGATTCGAACTCGCGACCCGCAGATTGCGAGTCGAGTGTCCTAAACACCGTGCCATACATATCCGAATGAATCAAAATGACAATTCAGAAATATTTGAGTGTTTTCAATAAACAAAAGAGCGATTACGTAGTTATACAATCCATTTCAAATGAGTCAGATGTAGCCCAGTTGCTAGTGTGCCGGACTGTGGGTCCAAGGGTCCATGTGATTCTTTCATTGCCTCCCCCTCTCGAAAAAATAAATAAATTATGTTTCGAACTTTGAGGTCGTGGGTGCATTATAAGAGTAACTGTTAAATCCCACTACTCGAGTGCAAATAGTCCAAGAGTTGGCAGTGGTCACTGCTGACTAGCTAGCTACTTTCCTTTTAATTTAAAATCATGGAAGGCTAGAAAATGTAGCCTTTGTATAGCCATATAAACAAATCGAAAAACCATTACATTCCAGCCCAGTTAACTTAAAATAAATGAAAAAAAGTAATTAAACAGACCAGTATAAGTACAGCACAACACGACTGGAATTGTTATAAATACTTCCTGTCTTAGTTCTTCAAATGAACGTGTAATCTCACTGTTTAGTATAAAACAGAGCAATAATTAAAGTATTCTCACCATATAATATATATATATATATATATACAATAAT